AAATGATTTAAAAATACCCTCAATGAGAGGCATTTTCGCTTCTGGGCGGCTGCTTAGGCAGATTCCTGAGCGTTTAGGATATCCGTTTTTTTTTTGCGCCTAGGCCTGGGCGATGTGTTTAGGTCCCCAAAACCGCCTAGGCGCTTGGCGGTCCGCTTTTTGAAACACTGGATGGGTAATTTTATCAAAGATGGGGCCCGAGGCGAGTGACATGATGCCGAACCCGAGGCTCAGGTTGGATGTTGCTATTAAATAGTTTGTATTTTATCCGTATTTAGATAAATTTTCCGTTTGATTATAAAAATAAATGGCTGTACTAGGAGCTGTTTTTTTATTTATTTGGTTCCCTCTGATTTTTTTGTATTTGACTTCTTTGTGTACTCAAATGGTTTGCCCTTTGTGGCCATGGTTCCTAAAGAAAACACCTTGGCCGTAAGCTGTACTTATATTCATGTTTAATAATCTATATGAGCCTTCTTGTGTACTTTTTCTAATCATAATTGGGTGATGGTGTTTTTTGGACCACTCGATATAAAGTTGAACGTTTCCTGCATCTTCGGGGACATAAAATTGACTCAATACAACCCAGACGGTTTCGTGCAGACGTTGGTAGTGTGAGACGTTGGTAGTGTGATACTCTTACGCCCAACTTGGATTGCCATCTATTTACGAAGAGAAAAAGTATACAAAGACAATGGTATAAAGCCACAAAAATTGGGATTTTAAATCAAGTAGTTGTAAGAGTGTCATTGACTAGATTTAAAGTTTAAAAAGAATTTATAAAATTATTAAAAATATTTCTTTTGTTTTTTCAGATTACTAAAAATAAACTCCAAAATTTTTAAAATATATTTCATACCCTTTTTCATTGCCCTTCACGATAATCTTAGGTCTATGAAGGCATCACGGTTGAACTAGAACTGTGATGGTCATAATGGGTTCTAAGTAACTTTGTATTAAGTTTAAGTCATCACAGTTCTAGTAGAACACTAGAGCCATGTTTGAAGCATCACAACACTTGAAGCATCATGATGGGTTATTCAACTATCACAGTTCTAATTTAAACTGTGATAGTATTATGTAATAATCATGTTTCTAAAAAGGTATCACGGTGGTGTGAAATCCGTGATAGGCAAGGTGATCATCATGGTTATGTAAGTACTGTGACGGTTCTAATGTTGCCCCATCGTAACGGTCTTAATAGAACCGTGATGACTTAAACCCCACACCAACAACGTTTGAACCCTCCACGACCAAGGCTCTAGGTTAACCATGATGCCTTCATGGACCTAATACTTTCATGAAATGTATTTTAGCAAAAAATGCGAAAAGTGGTGAAAATTGATATGGATAAGGTTTTGAAAGTTTTGAAGTTTATTTCTAATAACCTAAAAAAAAAAGGGGATATTTTTTATAATTTTCCAATACATTTCTACCCCAAACATCAATTTGACATCTAATATAGCTAGGAGTAATTGTTACCATCTTATGGTATACAATCCCTAACAAATAATGCTATTTCTCTTCCCTGAAAGCAACATTGTTTGTTTCACATTGCAATTCATAGGCGTTTGCAAAATCGAACCGGAACGGTTAACATGACATGGGGTCTGGAGTAGTTAGAACCGGAAGTGGACTAATGTGAGGGATGATTTGAAAACTAAGATCAACTTTGTAAAACTCTCTCTCTCTCTCTCACTCTGGAATCAGGCCTGATCGGGATCAGCTAGTGACCGATCCCAAGTTAGTCGGCTGATTTTTCCATAACATTAAAAAAACCTAGATAGAAAATGAACAAAAAGAAAAAAAGAAAAAAAAAAAGGAGAAGAACCAAGCACATACAAGACGATGATGTAGTGTTTCATAGAACATAATGCAACCAAAATTTTTGCATGCACTTAAAAAAACAAAATGTCCCATTTTCATTATTACAAATATAACTATATCATGCACTTAAAAAAACATAATTAAAAAAAATCAGTCAAAAGATCGAGGGACATTATCATGCACTGATAAAAAAGAAGATTCAATTTCATTAAAAAAATAATTTTATCAAAAAGAATAATTTTATTAAGCAAAAAAGAAAAACAATTCCCATATTCATCCAAAAAACGTAATTTTATTAAAAAATCATAATGCTATTAAAAATAATTTTATTAAAAAAAAATAAAAAAACACTTCTCATATTCATCAAAAAACATAATTTTATTAAACAATATTTTTTTTTTAGAAAAATCGATTTTTCAAAAGCCCCTAAAATCGAGCAACATTTCGAGCAAAAAACAACCCTTAATGTTTGGATAATTGAACAGATCAACATACATGCATTGTAAAATTTGCGATCATCTTTCAACGTACCAAATCTCATAAAAAAATATTTGGTACTTTTCATTTAATTGAAAAAATGGCGAAAATTTCAAATCGATAAAATTTTCATGATATGGTGCAACAAAAAAATTCATATAAAAACTTTTAATCAATCATAAATAGATATACCTATTTTATTTGAGAGATTAAACCTTGGTGATCAAAATACACAACTCAATTTAATAAAAAACGACCAATAAATTGATAAAAAATATGTGTTTTTGGATCGATCGCAAGTTCTTTGAGCAACAACTTTTCAGGCCAACATCAACTCATAATCTTTGGTTTTTTTAACAAATTGAAACATGAATCTAATAAATACTTTGATTATCTATCAAAGCCACCAAATTTCTTCAAGAGCTATTAGGTATTGAAGAAACTATCGAAAGAATGGCTGAAATTTTCAAAAACCTAAAACATCCACCATTTCGATCTAAGAAACTTTTTTTTTTTCGAACTTTCAATAGAAATTTCTTGTTTTATAGATTCTAGATAGTGCTGTAAATCACAAAAAAAGACAAAAACATGCACGAAAATGAATAAAAAAAAGTGAAGATTTGGATTCAATAATGCCTACTACAAATAACGGTCCCGATTTCAAAATAACGGCCGTAACAAGTACATTACTGTTATTTCATAAAAACGTCCGTCATATTGTCTAATTGGTCAGGTTAGCATAAAACCGGCCGGCTTGACTAAAAAATGGCTGGTTCGACCTCTAACCAGTAGGTTTTGGGCTGGAATATTTTTGAGGGTGTACCCTAGGCTACAGGACACCCAAAACCGGCCCTAACCGGACTCGGAACCCTAGCAGCTCCAATCTAACCGGCCGGTTTTTCTATCACAATGGCTCCTCGACTTATTAGAAAAATGCCAAATAATGTCCCCCGCCTACTAAAGAAAAACGACCTGCCCTTCTTCCTGAATAATGCATGCACCGTGAGACCACCAAACCAATAAAAATGCAATCTGTTACCCACAAAATTGAGCTGCATGTTTATCTGGTAACAAATATGAAATATATTACTAGCACGTGGAAGAATTCAAGAATGCAAGCACCCTCAAAACATGTCATGGCAAACACAAAAACCAACCCATTGTTACAGCAGTACCACCACATATTCTCTCAGGAAAGAAATGGAGACTCACAGTACTGCCTGAATTTGCAATGCACAGGTCCCGCATCAAGGATCATATTGTTGATTGATAATGTGATCCTCACTTCTTCGTTTAATTACAAATCTGCTCTCCCTCTCTTTTGAACATCAGTTCCGATGATCACCATGGTGGGCCAAAGGAAACTCAACAAGAACAATGAATGATGACTTTTCTGCCTCTCTAAGATACTGTACAGTGCCACTCATAATCTTCACAAGCTTTTGGCTTATGTAAAGACCCAAAACTTCCCTTGAAATGTCATGGTTGTGGTGGAACATTTGTTGAATCAGAGCTTCTGGAATTCCCGGGGCTGAGTGAGCAATCCTGTGCATTTTTATGGGTTTTGCTGATCAGTACAGAATAATCAGATAATTTGAGTGGTCATGGAAAAAGTTGCTAGATTCTCTTCAAGAAAGAAAAAAAAAAAAAGATAAAGAAAAATAAAAAGAAGAAGGAATTAGTTGCAAGGTTACTAAGACCTGCACATCATAGAACATATATACCTTATTTAACATAAAAGGAGTCAATGATTCTTCTCTATTTCGTTTTGTACATATTTATCACAAAATGGTAAGCACATTAAGCTAATATAATAGAGGTAGAGAGATCAACATTAGTAGTTTCTATAGAAATGTTTCTCTAAACACAATGTATTCACCGTTTAAGCAAGGTGCAAAGAGAAGGGCAGGATTAGTTTCCTTAATAGTGGTAGTGACTGTGGAGAGAGATATTTGAGAGTTGCAAACATGGATCATCCATTAAAATATATTAATATTGAGCACGAGGCCAAGAGAAAAGGAAAAGATGGTGGAAATATGGATAAAAAAATGACCTACGGAGGGTCACCTGAACTCAAGATGGATAATATGTACTCCAGTTCCTATGCGTTCTTTTCTTGAGATGACTTTCAGTGCAACTGATCCTTCTGATGGGGATGTAAATTGCAGGGAATTCACCAAGAAATCAGAGAGAGCTTGTTGAAGCCTCAGGTTATCTCCATATAAATACATTGACGACACTTCTGTGGACCAATCACGGATAATCTGGACATTTCTTTCTTTGCTGATAGTCATGCCTTGACTAACAACTGCTTCTAGAGCTTCCCCAAGGTTGAATTCCACCATATTCATATCATGATAACTGTTTCAAAATATATCCAACCATATAAGAGGGAGCACTAATAATCAGAGCTAGAGTTATTTCATCAACCAACTGGAAAATTGTAAAAAGAAAAACATTCAGTCTACCAATAAAAAACAAACTATTATTATTCATTGGAAAAGTATATATAAGGTTGCAATCTTAAAAGGTGCACCTCAAAAATCAATCGGAAAAGGCTCTTCTGATGTTAGAAAACCCTGTAATTGATCATCTCAACATCAAGATATATGGATATGAGAAAAAAGAAAAAAAACGATTACTAGTCCCAAAACTAATGCATCTTGCAACATATTATCTAGACCGTCCATTTTCAAGATTTTCATGTGTTTATTGATCTACTTGATTTGAACCATTTTTGTAGTTTAAAATTTAAAATTTCAAAATTATAGATGAAAATAGATCTACTTGATTTGAACCATTTTTGTATATTAAAATTTAAAATTTCAAAATTATAGATGAAAATAGATTCTCAGGCCACCATAAGAAATTTTGACACCAAAATTACATCTTATAATAACCATTTGGAGGTGCACCATGATTTGATTGTTTAAGGTTGCAACCTTTATGCAAACCACACCCTTATTTATTCTGTGGAAGTTGCATTTAAGCCCACAACCTATTGGTTGAAACTCGAGCTTTCTAATTGAGCTATGGCCCCAAATCCATAATAATAAAAGAACCCATTTATTTAGAGCTAGTAACTTATCTATAAAGAGGAATGCCAACTTATAATAACTGCATCTCTTATTTTAACAAATAAATTAACTGTGCCACAGAATAGAAATAAGATTATCTTAAAGTGATACCACGTATGTGAGATTTAAAAGCATTGAATCATGATAAGGGATGAAATCCATGAAGCTGACATACTTCCATATTTGAAAATACTTAGGTCTACGGATAGAGTAGTGCCTTCACTTGGAGAAAACCAAGAGGACTAACATCAATGATCCAAAGAAACTTAATTCTCGATAAACACATCCTCAACAGAGATTAGAATTATTAGAGTGCAAACCTTTTGAGTATCGAATATAGTACTAACATCAATGATCCAAAGAAACTTAATTCTCGATAAACACATCCTCAACAGAGATCAGAATTATTAGAGTGCAAACCTTTGAGTATCAAATATATACTGGACAACTGAATTCCATAAAATCCTAGCTTCAACTGGGGTATAAAAGGTCTTTTGGCTAGAGGTAGAAACCCCAGGTCAAAATTTTTACCCTTAATTATGTACCCCAAGAGCAAACCAAGTAAACTGCCCAATTTTGGGAATCATGCACTGGCTTCATTGGTTACGGTGTTGACAATTGCAAATTTGCAACACCATGTCCCAGGTTCTAATGCCACCATTCACCTACTGCCTACCCAAAAAAATAATAGTAGTACACGAGAATATATAAAACCTTTAGGACCGTGGTAGAGAATTAAAGAGGCTGGCTAAGGCAATGCTAGATGAACTATAAAGCAGATACTAAAAGATCACTTGGCATCATGATAATGAGAAAACACTGCAAAAATAAGGAAAGAAAGAGAAGCATTGGATCAAGCTATGAATAATTTATGATTGTTTTGTGAGATCTGTTAATGTATAGAGGTCAAGCCCCTGGGTTGATAGTCCGAAGCTCGGGTTTAGAGCACTAATACCATGCAAGTCTTGTAGAATTAAAATAATTTCATTCTCCTCTAAAATGAGCTAAAAGTCTTATCTACTTCTTAATAGCCTCTCATATGCAAGGTGTCTGGACACATAAACCGCCAGAGGTCGTCAAAGAAAACTTGATCTAAAGAGTCTCTTAATAATCTCTAAACAGGGCTCTCTAAGAATGTGCTTAAGTTAACATATTGACTAACCACTAACGACTTATTAGGATGAGTAAAAACATATAATGCAATCTTCCCATAATGCATAGGATGAGTAAAAACATATAATGCAAAGCTCCCATAATGCACCTCATCACTGTAGGCTAGAAAATCATTCTCCCTCATACAACTTATTCAAGTCAATCAAGAGTGGTCATAGGCCTGATCCGAATCTTTTTCAAAAGGATATTGTTGAAAGTAGAGGACAGGACTTGAATGCACTGAGTCCACTCAACATGGCCCCAAGATAAACATGATGAAACTTTAAGTTAACGCTGACTTGATTAATACAGCGATGAAACTAAATAATATATGCTATGTCTCTCTCTATTTTGCTAATTTCACAAAAGAAAATTAACAATGATAGAAACTATATAACCCATCAGAAAGTCTTTGTTTTTGTTTCGCACACCCAGGGAGACTTTTATACCCCTAGCATTTGAAATATTCAATCCCATCCCCTGTGCCCCCATTGTTGGCAATTGCAAATTAGCAACACCGTATCCAAGGTTTCAATGCCACCATTCACCTACTGCCTACCCAAAAATATGAATGGTGCATGAGAGAACGTATGAAAACTTTAGGACCATGGTTGAGAAGGCAATGCTAGATGAACTCTTAAAGCAGGTACTAAATGATTACTTGGCATCATGATAAAAAAAAAAAACACTGCATAAAATAAGGAAATATAGAGAAGCATTGGATCTCACTATGAATAATTAATCATTGTTTTGCGAGATCTGGTAACCCTTTAGAGGTCAAACCCCAGGGTTGATGGTCTGCAGATCGAGGTCAGAGCATTAGTACCAAGCAAGTCTTGTAGAACTAAGAACAAGTTCATTGTCCTCTAAAATGAGTTGAAAGTCTATTTATCACTTATTAGCCTCTCACATACAAGGTCTCTGGATACAGAAACCACCGGATGTCACCGAAGAAATCTTTCTAATATCTCAAGAGCCTCTTGATAATCTCTAAGTAGGGCTCTCTAAGAACGTGCATAAGTTAGCATATTGACTAATCACAATGACTTATTAGGATAAGTAAAAACATATAATGCAATTCTCCCATAATGCATAGGATGAGTAAAACATATAGTGCAAACCTCCCATAATGCACCTCATCACTGTAGGCAAGAAAATCCTTCTCCCTCATTTATACAACTTATTCCAGTCAATTAAGAGTGGCCATAGGTCTGACATCCTAATCGTTTCAAAAGGATTGTGTAGCAAGTAGAGAACTGAACTTGATGCACTGAGTCCACTTGACATGGCCTCAAGATAGACATGATGAAACTTAACAATAAATATTATGTCTCTCTCTAATTTGTTTCAATTTCACAAAATAAAATTAACAAAGACGATGAAAGAAAATATAGAGCCTGTAAGAAAGTATTTGTTTTGTTTTGCACTCCTAGAGAGCCTTTTATACCCTCAGGATTTGACATATTCAGTCCTGTTTACCACCCTCAACCCCCACTCTTGGCAAACAAAAACCACTCACTACAACAAACATCCAAAATCCCAAAGGGCGCATAAACGTTTTCTCAGTATCATTTCTAAAGCCCTTTCATAATCATTTTTAAAGCCTTCCAAAAATGATTTTTAAAATTGGATTTCTAGAAATCTAACTTACAACTTGCATAACATGTAATAGGTATAAAACAATATGTTTTCTACGAGTTAATTGTATATGCAAAAGCTTATATTAGCTTGTTTGGGTTTCTCAGGTCAAACTTCAAAGGGGCCCTTCACCTCCGTCACCCAAACTGGGATGTCCACCACTAAGCCCAAGCTTAAGGGAAGCATTTAATTGTCAACGTTTTAGAAATACTAAATGGGATTTCCCCATCAGTGATCTAAAACTCGAGCGAGTACACTCAGACTCACCTGAGTTACTCAGACTTGCAAGGTGCCGAGTCTGAGCAGGAGCCGGCTAAACTAGGCTGGTTCCTATATTTTACTATTAGAATGTGTACAGACTCGGCCAAGTCTGAACACAGCTTAGATTCGGGACTTTGCCGAGTCCTGAGTCCGAGCCTTGTTTAAGTACATTTGTAAACACATACAACAAAGTAACATTGACTTGTGCTATTGAGTCCAATGGGATTTCCCCAACCAAATCCAACTTGTGTTTCGGTTTCCGGAACTTTGAGACAAAATAAAGGGTTTTTTTAAATGCATGAAACAAATAAAATATTCTGAATAAGAATCATTCTGCTCTTTTTTCTTACTTTAGAAACTCTGAATTGCAGGGCCGTCACTTTTATATTTCCGATATATGTTCTTACCAACCTCAATTACATTAAGGGCGTGTTTGATTGATGCAAATGCCGCTTACAAAGCCACGCCTTCCACCAACTTATGGAATGGCGGAAGGGGGCGGTGGGTTTAACATGATTTTGGAGGCTAAGGGCATAGCACTTCATGTTTACGAACATGGGAAGAGCTACAGTTGGTGGAAGACACGGCATCTACCAATCAAATGAGCCCTAACATTAGCCTGAACATTGCCAAGAAGGAGAATATAATTTACACTGACAAGCACAAGAATAACTTGTGGAGAAGTGTAATTTGAACAAACAAAGGATATTCCAACTTATGCCACTTAAAAATTGCTCTACTTAAAACCAAGCTCTTCAAGGGTAAATTTCTCAACTAGAACACCAGAGCATGATTTCATAGAGCACTTTTCTTATATTTGCACTTGGTGTGAATTATTAATGCAGGTGGACACTGTGCATACTTCCTCTCCTTAGTAATCACAATGAAAAGTATTCTTCATATTCATTTTTTTTCTGGCTTTTTGATTATTTATACACTCAAGTATCAACCTATTATGGCATTGCCTGAGGCTGAAAACTCCAACAGTGACATTGAAACTGAACATAAGGTACCTTTGATTAATAATCACAAAGCATAGAAAAAGATGAAAGAAGTGTTGCAAGCAACAATTGTCTCAAAGTTTGATGTGTGGAAACATTTCCCAAGAAAATGAGGAGGCATCGACTATAGCTTTAGGATCTAATATTAAGGTGCCCTTCGTATGCTTTTCAAGGTGTCAATTATGATCATAAGATCTTGGAAAATAACATACCCAAGAAACAGAAAATTCCTATCACCAAAGACCAAGGATATATATCTATCTTAGTTGTCATGTAGAAGACAAACAGGATAACCCAACTGCTCTAGTTGACAATGGCCAAAAACCTAGACAAGTTTTACAAGAATGGTCAGCCTAGCATTCCCAATCACTGCAGGTACAAGTCTAAACATTTGTATCCTCAGTAATATATTGATATGATTCCTTTATTCTATAAGAGCATGGTGTGTCAATTGGGTTTGCACTAGATTGAAAATGCCCCTTTTTACTTGAAGACTTGCCTAGATGTTATCTCATGCCTACATAGATAACAAGTTTAATGCTTTGCAATGATCCTTACTGCCAGCTCCACTGGCAAAATTTATGAGGGATACAATAAACTTCATACTGCGCATGCATTAATTGCAGATCATAATGCAGCCTCTATCTCCCCAATTTAAGATGAGGGTATAGCTGGGCTGTATTGCATATTCAAGGGAGAGTGTGCCTAATATCTTGTTTAGGGTGTTTTCTTGGTCGCATACCATGTAAATTTAGCTATTTCATGAATTCTGGAAGTATGACCCTGTCTCTTTCTCATTGGTGGAGTTGTACCCCTAAAATTTTGCAAGCTTATAATGATTATGTTATAAATTAGTTATCTTGGTCTAGTGGTTTGGACCTCCAAGTCTCACATTCCTAAGTTGTGAATTTCAATCCCAAGCTTATCAATGAAAAGTCCCCATTCGTGTCTTTTAGCTGACCATGCAGGCTGGTGGGACACAGGCGGGTCTCCTTCAAGGTAGGAAAATCTAGTTTATTAGAGGTGTTACTTCTTTTCTTGCTTTGGACTTCACAATTATGTCAATTTCAGAGGAATAAATTGATGCTTAGTTTCTGTTTTTATCATTTTATCTTAGGTCCTCTGAAAGAGGACTTCAAAGTAATTCTTTGTTCACTTTGTAGTGTCTCTAAGTCCTACACATTACAAACTTCAACATAATCACTCAAAATTAGCTAGGTTCCTCCTTGGCAGCTACCTCAAAAGCATTGGATATGCATTTTACTAGCCCAAGAACCAAGTTTGTGGAAAACTTTGCAATGATTCAAGTTGGATATATTGTCAAAAGTTTGAATGATACAAACTAATAAAGTAGCTAAAGCAATCTAAATCACTATAAGAGGCATACCATTCTTCGATACTTTCTAAATCCATGTCATTCAAAATCTTTGTCAACTGCTCTCGACAAAGCACACTTGTCCTCAATAGACGCCTCTGAACCTCAGTCAAATCGGATGCCTCCATTAACCCACCCATAAATGCTATTCCATTAAGTGGGCTTCTTACTTCCTGGCGTATGTATGCCAATTCCTTAAGCCTATTTACGGCCGCTTTCTCTGAGATCCTCTGAACTTGCAAAGCTTGTTGAAGCTCTGGCCTTGCCACATGCAAAAAGCATAAGGCTCCTTTTATCTTACCCTCTCCATCAGTCCTCTTATTTGCTGAAAGAAGCGCCTCAATATACTTTCCATGAAAATCATAGAAACCAAAGAGCAATTGGCTTGTTTCTTGACCTGCAATTACACAATTCAATACTATCCTAAGCTTGGTTAGTGTGTCATGGTCTTTGACTCTGCAGTTGACGTTATTGAGACCAAATACCTCCCCAACAAGCATTTTATCAATTGCTTCCTCTCTTTTCAAGCCTGACAACTGCTCCATTGCAGGGTTCCACTCCAAGCAAGAACCGTATTCATCAATTATGAAAATTGGAGGGATAAGAGGATTTGGGTTCCTTACTATTGCATTATAATCGCCTTGGATACGAGTGAATTTGTCCATCACCATCTTCTGGCCGGTCATGTCTTGGGACACAAAGCACACGCCAACAACGTGTTCCTTAAGGTCTCGGCTGGAGCATGCATTTACAACCAAGATCACGGGTCCAGATTCCTCCCGCTGCCCAAACGTTTTAAGCTTTATCTCAACATTTCTCTCCTCTTTTCCTGCCACAGATATAAAGAAAGAAAAACATATATTTGAATGACACAAGACAAAAATACATCTCTTCATCCATTAATGCAAGCAAATGTGTGTATATATACAAGCAAAAAGTCTAGATAATTATAAAATGCAATGGAATATGTAAAAACCATAGTCGGTCCAATGGAATGATGGATAGTAATGGAGAGAGAAAGTGAGAAACACCAAAACAGGACATCATCTCATGGTTCTCTTTCCATTATTTCATTGGGGTGGTAATGACCCCCCATGGACTAAATATCTTTTTTGTGTGTGTGTTGGTCGGGGGGGGGGGGGGGGGGGTGTGTGTGTGAGGGT